CAATACTAAAAGGAATAATTCTATAAACAAATGATAAATTCTAATGACAATGCAGCTGCTGGATTAGTGTAAACACCTGAAACAGGAATAACAAAAATGATATGGTGGAGTCGTGTAAACATGACCTTATTTTTAAGAATTATTTTTTAATAACAGCATAGTACAGAGTATCATTATAAATATAAACAAATAATTATTTGTATTGTAAAAAAAATTAATATCAATAACTTTTAAAGTATTAGTTTCTATTTTAGTTCAATTCATTAGCTTACTAAATAATAACATCAACAACGTCAGCAATAGTAATTAATAATAATAATAATAACAACAACAACAAAAATTAGTATAAACAACTAATCATATACTTAAGTAAATATAAATATTATTATTAATGAGTCAAAAAATAAGGGGATAGTGGGGGAAGTGTCTAAATCAATACAATAATAAAAATAATAAAATCAATAAAAAGGTAAAAAAATAATAACAATAATGATAATAATAATAACACACATTCACAAAAATAGGTATCATAGTAATTAATAAAAGTGTTACTAATGATAAGTAATATCAATGCATATAAACACATTCAATAAAATTTAATGTATAAAAGCTATGGCATGTAAAATGAATCTCATTTCAATAAAAAGTGGAGCAGAAACAAGTACACAAACTATTAATGCTCATAAACAATACAGCATAATATACAATACAACAATGAATGATTTATAATAACAAAAATAAGAATAATAAACCAGAGGAAATCATCATAATGCTGCATATTGTATAACAACTACCAATAGAAATAATAAATAAATACTGAGCATTACTTTACCGTAAAAACATCATCAAAAATAGAAAAAAATTTCCCTGCTGCGAAAATGAAAAAATTACCAAACAAAAAGTCTCCATTATTCTTGAAGGTATTAAAGTTAACGAGAGAGAGATTTGATGCCATAGTGTTAATATAATGAAGAAAGGAAACGATCGAATGTGTTTGTGTAGAAGTGAAGGTGTAGTAGAGAATGAGTGTGATGTGGTGAATTGGTAATACGTACAAAAGAATTGAAACGATTCCAACAAAAACAATGAAACAAACAAAAACAAACGAAAATAAAAAATAAATAAAATAAAGTACGACAATGACAACTACAACAAAGCAATCCATTTTATGTAGTATTATAGTTCAAGATTTAAGAAGATAAAAATGAAGGACGAGGCTTAGTAGCTATTGGTACTAGCTGTCTTTTCTCTGCCTCTTCGACAAACTCACGAACTAATTTTGATAAACTAATTCTAGCCTCAAGAAATTTAACAATAGACTCAGCATTGACTGACCTAGCACCATCAACGTCTCCTTGAACAGGAACCAAATCAAATTTATCAATTAAAATATGAACCAACTCCAAGTTACCACTTCTACAGGCAAAATATAATAATCCTTTGGAGCTGTTTGTTAGAATATTCTTATCACATTTTAGATTAGTTAAGTAATGTGATACAAGTTGAATGTTACCACCTCGACAGGCAGCATGAACACCAGTGAATCCATTACTGTCTTTGTCTTCAGGATGAATATTAAACGATTCAATCAGATACATTGACATCTCATAATGTCTGCCAGCATAATGAAGTGGAGACCGACCAGCTTTATCCTTAGGAGTTGGATTATTCCTAACACGAGGTACAAGATACTCGGATATCTCTTTATCTCCTTGC